TGGCAGGCCCTCCCTGCTCCTGCTTCATCGCTGCTTCTGCTTCCGCGCATGGCCGGAGCGTCAGCAACGTGCTGGGCAACGTGCGATACAGGAGCAGTCGAATAGAGGATATGGATCAACTTCGAGCCCAGGCTGCATTTGCAGGGGCCCTCAAGCTTGTGTTCTGTGTAAAGGTTCTTTTTCACATCATCTGGGTTGCAGTGAGGCTGTCCTCCTCAAGCTTTGTCTTGATTTCCGTTGGGACATCTTGGTGACTATCGAACAACCGACCAGTTCTTGGGCCATGAAGCTGCTTCCCATGCTGTCTCCTGTGGTAGGGTGGCGCATGAGTCGCACCACCACCTGGATGTGCTTCTTTGGTTACAAGTTGTTCAAACCGACTCATTTGTTTGGAAACTGGTCGGCGCTTGGGCAACTCCGCCGTTGCCTGAAAAAGAAAGAGCGCCGAAGATTCCAGCGTAAGTTTGACAAGCATGCCAAGGCTGGGGGAAAGCCTTACTGGCAGAAACGTCCAAAGAAAAATGGAGAGCGCGGCTGGCAGGGCACCAAGCTGTTGGCAGAAACTGCCACGTACACAGATTCTTGCTGCCAGACTCTACTGGCAGCTTGGCTGAAAGAGTTGCGCGGCCTGAGCATCTTGGCGGACTGTGACTGAGAGGACACTGCGCTACGCATTGTTGGGGGTCAAGTGCTCTCGTGCTCTCTCTAGAAAAGGGCCGCTTGCGTCAGCCCCACTCTGGTGCTTACGCGAGCTCCGTGTCTGCCTAGGTAAAGGTCGTGCGACCAGACTGCTTCCAGGTTGTTGTGGGGCCCGCAGCGCAGCTTGTGTGGAAGTATCATCCCTCTGGTTGGCCAAGGCCGTAGAGTTGACTCTGTGCTGACTACATTCTCCGGCCTGCCTCCCAATGTGTGTGTGATCAATTGGCGTCTCTCGAATGAAATGCAGAAATCACACCTTTTTCTTTCTGTCTGCGTGGCCAGGCGAAGCAGTCGCGGATCTGGATTACGAGGCCTCGGAAGTTGCAGTTTGCTTTTTCCTGTTGAGCGCAAGAAAGAAAGTCAGGGTCCTTGTTTGGATGCGGAGCCTTCGTTAGGACATGTTGGAAGCACCGGCCCCGGGTAGCAGCGCATAGGCCCTGCTCAGCCAGCGACAGTCTAGCAAAGGATGCGAAGCAGTTGGGGCCAAGAAGTGAGGGCTGGAAAGGATTTTTGTTGCAAGCAGGTAACAGGGCAGCTATCCCACTCATCTGCAGAAACCATACCACGCGGCCAAAGCAAGTAACAGTGTAGCTCTGCCACTCAGTTCCAGCCTAGCCTAGCCTGAAGCAGTGAGCCAAGTTGTACTTTTTTTCTCAGAAAGGACTTTGGTGGCAAGCCCAGCAAAGCCTAAACCACATTGGCGACCGTCACATGTACCCTAATTATCCCCTAATTCCACCCCGGCCATTCGACTCAAAGCCTCTCAAAGCCTGCGGGCTACTGGAGGAGCGAGCTTGACAGCTGCAAGTAGTCAGGCTATGCGGGGTAGCCAGGCCGCGCAGCTGCCATCGAAGGTGGCTGCACGCTTAGGCGCCTTCGCCGGAAACGGCGCTGGCCGACCGCGTGGTCCTGCAGGACGGGGCGCAGCTGGCACACCGTGCCCTGCTGCTGCGCGGCCTGCACGACTACTACTATGACAAAGCGTGCAAAGACATGCAAGCAATGGCACCAGCAGCAAAAGAAACGCAGTTACCACGCCATGCTGAACTTCCTCAGCCAGCCGCACAAGCTGACGCGGCGGGACCTCGGCAAGCCTCATCGCACACAGTATAGGCATGCCCGCAGCGCCTCCTTTCGGACGTGCTGGGCTACAAGCTGAATCACAAGCCGACGGACAGAACCAGCCTTTTGCAGGACGCCATCATCCGCGCCTTGTGTCCTGCTGGGTAGGCTCTCCTCTCGGCCATTCACTGAGGCTTTGTCCTTCCACTTGAAATCGGTGGCATCCCTCTCCATATTGGAGCTTCGGGGTCGCCGGATGAACCTTAAGGCAGCCCGCCAGCATTGCCGTGAACTCCTCAATGGCAGAGCACCAGTCGGGTCTGGGCCGGGCCTATGTGCTGGCAGCTGCCTTCGGAGTGTTTCGAGGCAAAAATTGCCAAGCTGTGCTGGCACGCCATGCGATGGCCAATGAGGCCTGGTGTTGGTGGGCCCCGGTGCTCTGAAGGCTGCCTACAAAGCCTTGGCGGCCTGCATGACAGTGCTGTGCAGCCCCGCGTCTCCACTGAGTACCTGCAACAGGCCCACAAAGCCGGAAGGTTTGGCGCAAACTCGTGAACCGAGATTTGAAGCCCAAAGGATTCTTTGGAAAGCATCCCGCTCTACGCGCTTGCCTGCAGCGCTACATCCATGATGAGGACCCGCGCGGGCTGCAAGCGCATCAGTTCTTGTTGTGCGAGACAGCGCGGCTGCACAAGCAAGTGTTTCGCGAAAACAAGCCTACGCCTCGCCTGCAGCTCTACAGCCAGCACGCAGACCTTTGCCCGTAGGCTTACGCGCTCGCTGGGCAGGTTGACTGGGCGCTGACGCTTCTCCCAAAACACACTGCGCTAGTAAGCCCCAACCTTAGAACCCGGTGAAACATGGTGAAGCCACACATTGAAGGCTTGCGGACCCAGCAGCAAGCTCGGCGCTCACGCGTACTCACCAAATTTGGGGTGCTTGGAAGATCTCTTGACTTCGTACGTCTATGTAGTAAGTGGGTTGTAGGGCCTATAATAGGGTTATTTGGGATAGTAGGTAGACATACTGAGTCAAAAGATAGGCGGCAGGTATTTCTCTTCTGTTGAACAGCTCACAAGCCTTGCCCCTGGACCCTAAGCCCTATCCCCAAACCCTATAAGCCCCCACGGCTCAGGCAGTACCCTCCCACGAGACGGCGGCCAAGCTAGGAGGTTGGCATCAGAGCTTTTACAACTGCTTCTGTGCAGTTACCTGCAGCTTAGAACCCCGCTACCGCGGAGCCGTGCTTTTTGCGGGGGCCGAATTGTACGTTTTTCCGGAAAACGCACAATTCGGCTGCTTGGTAAAAGGGTGTAACAAAGGGTCCCTGTAATTATCCCCAACCTTAGGACCCGGTGAAACATGGTGAAGCCACAAATTGAAAGCTTGCGGACCGAGCTGCGTGCCCGGCACTCATGAGTGCTCACCAAATTTGGAGTGCTTGGAGGAATTCTTGACTTGGTAAGTCTATTTAGTGGGTTATAGTTATAGGGCTTGTAATGAGGTTATGTGGGATGGGTAGACTTACTGAGTCAATAGATCATCCAGGCGGCATGCAGGTATTTCTCTTGTGGTGGGCAGCTCACAAGCCTTGCCCCTGGACCCTAAGCCCTATCCCCAAACCCTATAAGACCCCACGGCTCAGGCAGTACCCTCCGACGAGACGGCGGCCAAGCTGGGAGGTGGGAGCTGGTGCTACGCTTGAAACATGGTGAAGCCACACATTGAAGGCTTGCGGACAGAGCAGCGTGCTCGGCACTCATGAGTGCTCACGAAATTTGGGGTGCTTGGAGGAATTCTTGACTTCGTAAGTCTATGTAGGAAGTGGGTTGTAGGGCTTATAATAGGGTTTTTTTTGGGATAGTAGGTAGACTTACTGAGTCAAAAAAGATCATCCAAGCGGCAGGCAGGCTGCAGGTATTTCTCTTGTGTTGAGCACAAGCCTCGCCCCTGGACCCTAAGCCCTATCCCCAAACCCTGTAAGACACCGCGGCTCAGGCAGTATCCTCCTACGAGACGGCGGCCAAGCTGGGAGGTGGGCATCAGTGATCTAAGCGCAACTCTAGCAGGGGCCGAGTGTGCAGTCGGCGTAGGGAAGCGGTAATTGCAGCTCATACTTTAAAGCTTGATCCACGAGGATCACGAAACAAGTTTTGCCTGGCTGTGAGTGTTCCAGGGGTGCCTTGTGATCCTAATGAAAGTTTGACATGTGAGCTCTTACAGCTGCTTCTGTGCAGTTACCCTGCTACCGCGGAGCCGTGCTTTTTGTGGGGGGCCGAATTGTACGTTTTTCCGCAAAAACGTACGATTCGGCTGCTTGGTGAATGGGTGTAACAACGGGTCCCTGTGGTTATCCAATTTCCAAGGACTTGGAGCTGCTGCGCTTCAAAGCAGAGAACATGTGAGTCGCGCAGACATTTAACAAGAGCAGCTCGAAGCATGAGCCCATCAAAGCATCTTGGGTGACATGCAATTTCGGCATTTTCAGACCCTCCCCCTAAGAGAGAAAATCATGGGGGATTTGCTGCGTAGGAACCGCCACGAGACGTCGGACACCCACAGGAATGGCGCAAGGACGGCTGTGGGACTGGAAGTGGAGCCGAGCACTTGCAAGGGCGTCCGCTTGGAGACGGACTTCGGCCTCGCGACGCGCGTGGGATCTCATGCACCTGTTGCAGAAATGGATTCGGCAGGAGTGCATAGCGACCATAGCGTCACCGCTGCAGGTCATTTGTGGGACATTGGACGCAGAGGACTCTGTTATTGCGCAGCATCGTGATTGCAAGAGCGAAGGCACTCGGGCATGTTTCCCCGGCAAGCCTGCCTGCGAGAGCTGTTCGAGTCTCTGCAACAGCCAGAAGCCTCTCGCGACCATGTAAATTCTGGAAAGGTTGCATTAAATAGGGTTTCTGCTACACGGGTCCGCCCTGCCCAGGCTATTGGAATCGCTCCTCACCTGGTGCGAGCGCATTGACTGGATCCACTTGACGCACTTTGCCTTGGCCGGAGCTGCCGGGCGTCAAAAGGCGCTTGCAGAAGCTATGGCAGAATCCTATCCGCTGCTCAGCCGGGAGTCGCTGGAGCACATGAGCTACCCGGACTGTCTCCGGAAGGCGCGGTCTTTCTTCTGTAACATCCCGCGGTCCACCATGAACACTGCCCTGAAGAATTTCCTGGCCCGCGCGCTGGACTAACTCACCCCAAGCATCTTAGTTAGCGCGCCTGCAGAGATTCAGAAGGACATCCGGAACTATGTGGATGGCGTGGCTGCTGGCAACATCTCACCGCAGGAGAACCGCCTCGTCCAGCTCTTGTCGGACAGGGCCTTGCGAGCAGCCGAAATCACTCGCGTTCTAGTGCCTTTGCTGCTGGACAAAGCCGACCGCATCCGCAGGGGTCACGTGTGCCGCGCAGGCGCATCAACAATGGACGAGTCTGGACTACAGGAGCTGGGCTTTGCGCTGGGCCAGAAGATGAAGAGTCACGCTGTGCAGCAGGCTTTTGGGTTGAGCCGATCCAGCGCGCAAGCTGCGACCAAACCCAATCTCATCATGCCTTGGCTGCCCCAGTTCTTTGCGGCCTCAGGCAAGCAACTGCAGCAGAGGTGCGGGTGTAGGGTACACGTGCCTATGTCTTGATTCGAGATGAGGTGGTGTACGCCAGGGGCTACCATTTGATCTACGGCCTGGACATTGATGACTGTCAGCGTGGCTCAGTTGTTGGAGGAGCCTTTCTTGACCACCATCTGCTTTCCCGGGAAGCTTTCAACGAGTCGGCCTTCGAGGAGAACCTCGCGTCCGTCTGCGTGTCGACATGCCTGAAGCGTGTGGATACAACAGCAAGACTGTACCAAGTGCAGCAGCTTCCTCGCCACCGAATCACCACCGCCATGGAGGAGTTGCAAGCCGTAGGCGACATCCTGGCAGCGTGCCTGGCCGCAAATGCCGGAGTTCCACCGGCAGCTCTGGCTTACGACAACCACAAGTCTTTCGGGTGCCTCAGCGAGACCGCAGTGTGTGGGGCGAACTGAACTTCTGGAAAGACTGCAACCACTCCGCCGCGCTGCCTCTCCCCTGTTGGCCATTCGCTTCGCTACATTTTGGGTCCCAGACCCCGTTGCCCCTGCGTGGGTGCTGCGACCCCAAGCACATCCAAAAGGCGTGAACCCGATCTTTGCGAATCGCTTCTCGGACAACGACTGTGTTTGGCTTCCCCGTCTTCATGTCCCCTTTGGCTTCTGGAGGGTGTCCTCTCTCATCAGTCAGTGTGGCAAGGGCCAGCACTCGGACGTTGAGGCAGCGCACCTGTTCAATCCAGGAGCCTGGGCTAGCAGTTGGCAGCGCTTCCGCTGCGTGTCGAGTAGTTCCGCAGGACACCTGACCCAGTCTCTCTGGTCCGACTTGGGCACGAACCTGTGGCAGCAGCGCAGTAGTGCCAATGCCAACCGCATGTAGCAGCCAAGGTTCGTGAATGCATTGTGCTTCAGCGCGTGGCACGCTTCCCGTGTGTTGTCTGTGGCAGACATCGCAATGAGGCTTCTGCTGCAGAGAAGTTTGCGTGCGCAAAGCTGTGACGTGCGCCGTGTGCCTGTGTTTGACTAAGGAATGCGCTGACAGCCTACTACCTCACGTTGCTCCTGGTGAAGGATGCCAGGGAGAGCAAGGGCAGACGATGGCACGAGCTGCTCCTGCCGAGAGTCACAACCCAGAACGTGCTGCGTCTTGGCTGGCATCCGTCAAAGCTCAAAGCAGTCAATTGCACGTGCACGGCGCAGTTGCCTTTTTGCAATTCTTAGGAAGATGCTGGCCCACGCGGTGCTCCGCGTGTCTGCGTGGCGCAAAGACCTTGTCTTCGAGCCATCCTTAACCATGGAGGACTCCATTGAGAGGACGTTTGGCTGGCTGAAAACCATCAAGCGGGGCTGCAATGGGACAACCACCATAGCAGGGTCCATCTTGGCTTCGCACTTGATTCACTTGCGGCAGTCTCGATCGGGAGTCAAGGTTGCTTGTCGTACTTGAATTTGGCTATTCCCCCCTTATCTATAGGTGGAGGGTTACCTTGGTTCATCGGTCCGGGACCTATTTCGGGAAGGTGGGTCTTGGTCCACACTTATTGGTCCTGCGCTGGGTCTCACAATACGTGTTTTCCAGTAGAATAGAGGTCTTTGGCGCATGAAGCAGGCGGCCGAATTGTGCGTTTTTCTCAAAAAACGTACAAATCGGCCGCCAGGAAAAATTGGCCCCAGAATCACTCCGCTACCCGGGTCCGGGCTCTGAGGTGGCTTCGGAGCGCAAAATCACGAAGAGACCGGACATTGCCCAGGTGGCGCAGGATGCTTTGAGCAGCTCTTGCAAGCTGGCCAGCATATGCAGCAGGGGCAAACCCGCAGGGCAGGTGAAGAAGGAGTTGTTTGCTTGGCCAGCCGTTAGCTCGTGTGTGCCTTCCGAGTGGTTGGGCCGTGTGTGGGTGTGCGCATCACAGTACCTCAGGCCGGACGCCAGGAGCTGTTTCCCACGCTTCCGAACACCGTGCCAGACGAGGTGTGTGAGGAAACGTGGGATGAGGATGACTTGTCGGACGGCGACGCAGAGCCTATATGAGAAGGTGCAGACGCGGACCTCTAGCAGTGCTTGGGAACTGCAGATCAGAACGACCTGATCTGCAAAGAGATTGTGCAGCTGCAGACAGATCCTAAGATGGTGCCGGAGGAAGTCGATGCAGCTGCGCTCCCAGAGCCTGACCAACAGGGCAGCGCAGCTCCTGCTGACCGGGAGGCCAAGCGACAGCGTGGGCCCGAGACACAGACGACACTGTGCGGCATTCTGGCGGCCGCTGGCCTGGAGAACTTTGTTCCGCCAGCCCAGGATAGCGACGTCCAAATCTTGAGCGGGGTGCGCAGACTCTGTTCGCGCCTGAGGAGGTTCACAGAAGAAGTCCGCGGTGCCGAAGGCTTGCTCTCCCACGCAATGGTGCACGGGAAAGTCGTGCGGAAGCCCACGGAGGTCTGGGGGGCAGGGGCGCAAGAGCTCCTCGCGGAGACTACTCGCCAAGGGTAGGTTGAACATGCCCTTGGTCAACGCCGTGCGAGTCATGTTGCTAGAGCCCGAGAAGAGTGCCCAGGCTCCGTACCAATTCAGCTGCACTGCGCGATCGCCGGTGTTCACTTTGGAAGCTCACAGCGCCCGTGCTGTGTGAAATTCCGGAAAAAGACTTCCACTGCGAACTATCGCCCCACGGCGCCATGTTTGGGTTCTCCGAAGGCGCCATGCTGGCTTTGCAGAAAGCAGCTTTGGCCAAAGTGCTCTTTGTGGAGAAGAAAAAGGCGTCTGAAGGCGTTGGCAGCGAAGTCGTGTTTCTGACGCCGGATGATCTGAAGAAAACAGCGCAGGGGCGAGCCAATGTCCAGCGGTACCTTTGCGCTATGCGCTGAGACTGGGAGACGATGCACCATCCGTTGACAGACAGTAAGGACTGCATTAGGTTCGGCGCAAACAGCCATGTACAGTGGTCCGAACTTTTGGCTCGAATATCCGGGCACTTCATGAAGTACCAGAAGGGCACCAAGGCCTGGAAAGAGCTGCCGCCTGAGAAGAAGGCGCAGAAGCAAGGCGATCTGATCCTGCAGGAGCTTCATGCCCTATCCCCAAGACCTGGGGAGGAGAGCCGGCGCTTCAAAAGCTGGCTGCTGCGTGTGCACAACGAGGCACCTCCAGTCTTGCATGTGCAGGTGCTTCCGCGCCGGTGTTATCACAGCTATCAGGCTGCAAAATACTCGAACCTGGTAAGAGCTTCTAAACAAAAGGCGGAGGCGCTGCTGACACGTGCTGGCTTGTAGATCCTCATCGCGAATGATGAGGGCTTCTGGGTTTCACTGCAGACATGTCCAGTTGCATCCGTGCCTGCGCTCACGCGCTAGACCCCACTCAATATTTACAAGCCTGCTGTGAGTGCCGGCCATGTGTGCGGCGCGCGGAGACGAGGCTGACATGTGCTGCCTTCTTTAGATGGGAGTAGAACCTCATGAGAGTCACACCATCCGAGTGACAAAAGAGTTCCGTGCAGCCAGTCCTTGGTGTGCATAGGTTCATACAACAGCAACTCCACGCGTGTCCGTCACTTCATTTGCAATACATCCCGGCATGTGCATCTTTTTCGCGGAAATGATTCCGGCGCTGATGCAAGTCCCTATAGAATCATTAGCTGCTGCAGACTCCAACCCCCCCGAATCATTTTAAAATGATTCCTAGAGGCCCCCGAGCAGGCCCCCTCACAAGGTAGGGGTCATTCAGCTGCATTGACTCATGCACTCACGCGATCGTACACCCACTCACTCCTTCACTCCCCCAAACACTAACAGGCTCTCACTAACACACAGCAAGACAGTGCATAGCATTCACATAGCTATGCTGTAGATCAGCTACATAATCTACTAGTTAGCTAAGTACCTTTCTACACTACACGTGCATGCTATGTGATTTTGCTCATGTTGGATTGCAATGCACTCAGATTGAGGAACTTGTTTATGATGGCGCGCTCATCTCAAGGTACTTCGTAGCTAGCAGTCCAGCTACTGTCTAGCGATGGCAGACTGGGGGGCTGTGACAGGCGCAGTCGCTTTCCACGGTGAGGCCTTCCTCCGGTTGTCGCCTGCGAAGGCGTCAAGTCCCACTCCAACACCGACACCGAGACCGTCCTGGGATAACAACAAACGTGACGATGAGAACATAATGAAAGCGATCGTCTCCAAGGAAATCAAGGTCCATGACATGCGCTTGCCGATGGCAGAATTGAGGATCGCAATGAATAATATCCAGCGGTCCTTGAAGATGATTGTGCAGATGCAAGGCAAGTGGTCTCCGGAGGCCACAGCCTGCCTAATCAAAATGTTAGGCAAGCCAAAGCGCCGCAGCACTGCGTCTGGCAGGGGTGCTATCGCCGACGCGGAGCCAGAGAACAATATCCCGCAACAGAATGCCATTGCTAATGGTGGCGACAATGAGCCCGAGAACCACGACAACACCAACGCCGACAACGATCGCAGGGATCCCGAGAATACGAAAGACGCTGATGACGACCAGGGCCGTGAGCAGCACACCGACAGTGACACGAGCGAGACGAAGAAGAAACGCAAGAAAAAAGCAGTCATGTAGCAGTTCCACTTCTACATCCTCCTCGTCGAGCGTCACGTACCAGACCATCAAGCGCATCAACAAGACCAACATAGCATCCTGGCCAGCCGATTGGGCCAACGCATGGACCAGCACCCAATACCTCATCAAGGACAGCAGGGAGAATAAGCTCAACAAGCGCATCGCTTACAAGGTCCTGGTGAGCTTGAAGAAGTACAAGGGTCAATGGGATGGCGCCTGAAGCTTATAGGTTTCCGTGCCAGTTGAGTGCGTGACTGTGCTGCTTTGGCTGGAGGCTAAAGCCGTAGCATAAAATGAGGGATGTTCTGTTCAGTTACTGCTTGGTTGTGCTCGTTACTGCTTTGGCTGGAGGCTAGAGCCTTTAACGCGGTACAATACAAGGGAGCCACGCGTCAAGCAAAAAAAGAAGCAATGGGTGGCCCGTGCTTGTTTGCAACAGCTGTGCTAGCGTGAGCTGTTCTTATTTGTGCTCTTACAAGGCGGGGCCTCCTACCTGTCTAGCTAGTATTATATAATCCCTTCAAATAAAATATCGCTGTGGGTATACTATAACAAGAGCCCTATCTACTTAAGGGGGACTGTAAGCCTTACAAATAAATTATGGCTGTGGGTATGCAGTAATAAAATCCCTATCTACCCCAGATTCTATCTACTTAAGGGGACTATAAGCCTTGTAAATAAGATATGGCTATGGGTATACTATAACAAGAGCCCTATATACCCCATATTCTATCTACTTAAGGGGGACTATAAGCCTTACAAATAAAGAAAAAACATATGGAACTTAGAACCCTGGGTATCCTGACTTACAACCCAACTAAGTAGGGGGCCCTTCCTGTATCTACTGTTATTACACTTCCTTCTTAACGGCTTCACGTACTCTTGTGCCTCACTCACAATCACACACACACACACACACACACACTCACACGCACATGTCATGTTTCCTGTCATCTGGCATCACGCGTATTCAGATGCAAACATTGTTCCCTACCATGTGCTCGCCCATATGCAGCCATCCATCATCAAGCTTTAGCCGAAGCAAACACATCATCCCGCACAAGCTCTATTGCAAGACGCACGCAATCATGACGGAGCTTATGGACACTGTGATCGAGAAGGTCGGCGGCAAGGAGTGGCATTTTGAATCCCTAGCCCTTCAGCAAACCGGCCACATGCCCATCGGTGACATAGAAGAGGCAATCTAAATCACTCTTGATCAGTTCCTCTCGGCAGCCTGTCGCAGATGTGATGATGTGAAGACTACTACTTTGATCTTTGACGTCCACACGAGGGTGAGTGAGTTTAGCGGCCTGGCTCGCATAGGAGAGCTCATCCAGCAGGGTGAGCTCGCAAATCTTCCTCAACCATTACGTGTGCAGGAGCCACTCCCCCCAAATGCTAAGATGGGGGTCATCATTCACAACCTCGAGGACGGCACTATAAACATCATCAAGACGATGCATTTCAGCTACAAAATCGCTATGACCCATGCCAGGAAACTTTGCACCGGCGATGTTTTTGTTCCTGTTTACAGATCAGGGACAGGGCCTCGTGCTGTGCGCAAAGCCATCCAGCAGTTGCTGCAAAGATTACCCGGGTTCAGAGTTATGTGGAACAATGTCTCCGAGAAACAAGCTGGCATTCGTCGGGCTCAGACCTCGCAGTGGGCACCGGAGGATGAGGAGTTGCGCCGTGGCATCGACTATACCTCAAATCCTATCTCACTGCCGAACAGGAGCAGACGTGCAGCGCCCGCTACAATGACGTGAAGCTCCTGCGCGGGCAACCTCGGGCTTACGCAGGAAACCATCTTGCCAAGGAGGACGAGCCAGAGGCAGACGCCCGCACCACCATCTCGCCGGAGGAAATGTTGCACCTCATGCGCCACACCTTCCCTGATGAAAATTGATGCGGACATCATGGCGTGTTTGAAGAGGGCCGTGGTGTTTGTGTTCGGCAAGCACGCGCTCTATCTCCGGCTCCCTTCCGAGTCTGCGGACGCCACAGTGCATCCAATTGTGTGAGATGATCTACATGTAGATCTGCTAGGCCCACAAGACAAGCAACTCCTTTCGGACTACAAGCGTGGTTGCTTCTGTAAAGACCCAGACTTCGAAGCCTATGTTCAAAAAGAACAGGCCATGATCGACGAAGGCTATCGCAAGAGATGTGAGCGATACGCTCTGCGATAAAAGAGTCGCCGCGAGAGTTGGGCTGTAAGTGTAGTAGACGCTCGTGAAGCAGGATCCGAATCATTTTCCTAATGTTTTTATGCCTTTCAAGGCGATTCTGGCCGACGCAACTCGCTTTCAATTAGTTCGATGTATACATAGCGTTAAGGAATACGGATTTTGATAAAGAATCTCATTAGTGTATAGTATGGGTTCTAAAGTAGTGTATAGTATGGGTTCTAAAGCACTCTGGAGCCTTGCAAAGGCTAACATTGGGATCATTGGGTGGTAAATTAGTGTGGGGTGATAAGATCTTAGCTTCGGACTCGAAAGTTGAGTGCTTTGTTCGCAGTATATCCTTTAGCTGCGTGGCCTCAGCTTGAGATGTAGGGCGAGTTCAAGGCCCTTCAAAGGTAGATCTTTAGGGGGCGTTGCATATATTTATATACCCATTATGGCAACTAAATTTAAGTTCCTTAACCCTAAGCCCTATATACCCCAATATAGTAGCTTTAATTAGTTTTCCTTAGCAGCAGCCCAGTAAGCCTCCCTATTCCCTTCGGTATTGTCGCCGCTCCATCTCTCTGCGCCTCATTCAGCTGGACGACTCTTGTCAGCCTGCAACGGCCCCTATCACTTACCGGGGGTTTGGCCTGGCCTTTGGAACGAAGGAACGGAAAAGAAAATGGAAACTGCCATAATGGGTTTATATCGGGACTACGATAAGGATCCATTCCTTCATTCCTAGCTAACCAAAGGCCAGTAGTAGGGACCAGAGGCTAGTAAGGAATATTCCCCTCCCACCACTGTAATATTTACTTCCCCCCACCCCCCCTAATATTAAGTATTCCCATTATGTGGTAATGTATAAGATATTTGGGAGTAGTTAATATTAGAGGGGGTGGGGGATTTAATAGTAGGGGAGGGGATTAAGGGAATACAATCACGAAATCACGAAAGATAAGCAGGGCAAAGGAAGGCAAACAAGGCAAGCAGACATTAAAGCGACTTCGCCCCCCGCAACCCCCGTACGTCTGCAAGTGCAACCGTAGTAGGCTTGATTTTTTTGCATTCTCAATGCTGGTGCAGGACTGTGCAAGCTAGGAAGGGCTCGTATGAGGGCGCAGGAGATGCAACGTTGTGAAAATGCATAAAGGCAAAGCCGAAGCTTCACACGCTTGCACCTTAAACTGTTGTTACAACCCCTGCCCATGCACGTACAGTAAGGGTTTATGGTTTAGGGTTGTTCCCAAAAATTTGGCACGCAACCACTACTCTCCGTATCTAGATAGTGTAGTAGTGTAGGCTGTGGTTTCAACGGCAAAGGCCTCCAGAGACCTTCTGTGGCTCACCAGATCGGGCAGCCTTGTCCCTGCCCCTTTTGGGGATTCCGACACTGTGCGTAACACTCTGGGTTAATTCAGGCTGCTGTCCTAAGGGCGATTTCGATCACTGCCCTCGCTGCACTTCATATTTCCTTTTTGACTTGTATGGCTGAGCAGACAGCAACAATGAGTGAAACCTACAAGTCGGGATAGAACGCATTAAAAAGCGTATGTTCGACCCACAGTTCTTGAATGCAACAATAACATGCCTGCAAAACCTTAAACCCTGGACCCTAGACTTACTGGTTCCCAGTAGGGAGTAAGGGAATAGATAGGGACTATGTTCCATTCTTCCCTACTAGCCCTAAACCCAAAACCCCGAATAGTGGTTTCGCTTTCTTCTTTCCACTATCCCTGTATAAGCCTATATTATACGCCTGTATTCCGTTATTCCCTACTGACGGCCCAGAACGTAAACCCGAAACCCTTGAACCCTGAACCCCTAAACCTTAAACTCCAGCAAGTAAGCCTTTGTGGCTAAAGCTGCTGAGGACCCTCACCTGGTCACCCCAGGACTTTCAGCAGCTATACAGTTGAGGGTTTGAGTTTAGGGTTCAGGGCTTGGACCAATATGTTTTTTTTTTCAAAAATAGGGGTGCCCCTATAATAAGGACTACGTATGGGGTCTGCGTGTTTGTGAAACTACCATATGCGCTCTAGTCCAAAATCATCCGTAAAGGGGGCTATATAGGGGATTATTGTTTAGGGCTTAGGGTTATATAGGGGAGTATTATAGTGGTTGTTAAGGGGGCAAACTAGGAGTTTAGACTATAGCTCATATGCAAAACCCAAGCTCGCTAGTATGCCGTATGTCCACCTAGATGGGCACATTTATTTATTTGCATATGTATGCATGTATGTATGTATGGGTAGCTATAGGCAGTTAATATCTTTTACGAACACATATGTGTTCATGGGCAGCTATCGGAAATTTTCAAGGTCAATCACTATTTTGGGTGGAGGGGCGTTCACATGTAGCTATAGGAAGTATTCAAGGTTAATCAGTTTTTAGAGGTGGAGGGGTTTGCTCTTAGTAGGGAAAGAGGACCCATAAATGAAGCCACCGCATGGTGCCCTTGTTAGTCGTACGGAATGTGATATTTTGTCTGGAAGATGGCAAGTGTCTGGGATCACCTCTTTTTATATTCTTTCCAGAGGGGTGTCGACCTCAAGGACCTTGTAGGAAAACTATGTGGATGGACCACCCGAACCTACGAACCCTAAGCCCTAGAGCCTTCACGACCTCTCACGCCAAGCGTGGCCTTTTTCCTCTTTAGGACTCAACCCCCTCCCCTAAGAACAAAACCGGCCACCTGCCTAATGATAGATACTCCCAATGCAGTGCCGCTACATGGGTTTCTGGGTTCAGGACTACACGGGGGGATGATTTCTTGACAGTTGGTGGGAAGGTTGATTTTTAGCCGGGATATGAGTAATTTTCTACTTAGAGAAAGGCAGATATGTAAACCCACCCCTGGAGGAGTGGTCGCACCAACCAAAGCGACAGGCTTTCCTTGAAGTTGATATGGAAGTCAAGGCACCGTTGGCAAGATCGGAGCTTCTGAGGAGGGTCTAGGGATTTAAGAGAAAGGGTTCAGGCAGTTCAGGATTTTACAGTTTAGGCCTTAGAATTGAGGGGTTCACAACCTCCAGCATACACGTAGCCTCCATGTCAAGAAGGATGTAGGGTGCATAACTTGACAGGATGCAGTCTAGGGTTCATGGGGTGAGCATTTTGAGAAAGCCAAGTCAGTAGACTTGGATATTCAGGTGTGGTTGAGTTCAGGTGCATGAGTTACAGAAGGACGAGAAGCACATAGTCTTGAACTAATTGCGGGTAAGTGTTAAGTAGAGAATAAGGAAAACCAAAAAAACTATGTATGATATATCCCCTTATTCCCTACCAACCCAACCCTATACATCTAAATTTATACGCCCCTATTCCCAACTAACCTCCAGCAAGTGGATGTACGGTTCAGGTTTCTGTGTTGGCCTTGGAGCCAAAGGCATCGGACAAAAAAGGAGGACAATCAGCCTATCCTAGCATCCCCTTACTAACCCTAGGGGTTTCGGGATTTAGGGTTTAGGGCTGAGAGAAGACGCTTTATAAGGTGATGATGCAGGTCGTTTGGTCTGATAAGTTATGAGCTGCTGACAAGTGTTCAGGGGGTACTGCCCAAATGCCCGAGTCAGGACCCCTTTGAAGGGAGCCTCGACCGCCTTCTCCCCCCAAAAAAACATTGAAGAACCATACTCTTCGGGCGGTTGCTTTTTGCAGTTTGCTCTCGGGATTGAGGTGTAAAGGTGGCGTTGGTAGCCTTAAAACTCAAATCTCACAGAACCATCTACCTCTGCACCCTGCCTAAATAGATTGTCCAAAAGTACAGCACGTGCATAGGATGACCCAGAAGTACACCTAACCTATCTGGGAAAGCCTGAAACAGCACAAAGAACCTTTAGAACCTGCCCAGAAAGCCTGGGTACCCAGAATGATGAGCTAGTTGAACCCAAAGTGGTTGGAAACTAGGGCCAAGTTGGGCTACTGGCTTTCTAGGTAGACTCTGAACCCAAAAGCCATATACCAATGTATATATAAAGAATATATATGTATACACATATATATACACACACACCTTTATACCTCTATGTATAGATACATTTAAAAGTATACATGTATATACCAGGGGTAGGCTACAGTTATGGGCTGCTGGCTTTCTAGGGTACCGTGCTGCTTACCTTGCTGATGGGTTGGGTACGGGTTCCCCCCAAGAAACAGTTGGATAATAATTCGAATATACTAATAGGGTTTAGGGGTTAGGGATCTGGCCCCTAAGATTACCCTTATTATAGACTGTAAACCACAAAACCTAGTCTGAAACCCTAAACTGCGCGGGGAGGGCGGGGCCTGGGGGCGCAGTACCCAACTGAGAGGTAGTGAATAGCGCTTCCGCTTCCGTCTCCTTCCTGGCCGGCTCTTCGCTGGCTGACTCCTGCCTAAGACCTACCCTTACTATTGTTATTAGTTTTTCTATTATTGCTACGACTACTGTTGTTTAGTACTAGTACTAGTATTACGAATACTATTGCTATTGTTCATATTGCAGCACTTATCTTGATTATGCTTCTTACTGTTAATATTCCTGTATTCATACTGTTATTTCTACTATTACTCTTATTGTTATTGCTGTTATT